GGTTCTCAGCCACTGCTGGCCGCGATCTGCCGACCGAGCTGGCCCACGTCGTTGGTCTGGCTCCAGCCTGTGTGGGCCATGTCAGTGACTGCCACCCTGTCAGCCTGAGGGCCTCCGTATAGACTTTGGGGAGCACTGAATGACCCCCTCCCACCCTGATGTCTGGCTTTGCTCGTGAGAGAGCTTGTCCACACTGGAGAGAGACGTGATGGAGAGAGCACCCCCCAGGGCCTCGTTGTGCTGCAGTCCCCCTCCAGTCCTCCAGCCCGTGCGATCTAGGGCACTTGCATGCCTGGCATGTTTCAGGCCGACCAGGCCGGGGATTTGAACCAGTCACCACGGGAGAGCCAGCTTTTCCTGAGAGGGCGTTACTGCTGCACCACAGGGCCAGCCTTGGCTGGACATTTTGTACCCATTAGCCCCTGGCGCTCCTGATGGGCGAGGCAGAGGGAGGCAGCTGGCCAGGCACCTTCTAGAGCAGAGCCCCCTCGGAGGAATCCCAGAGGAAATGCCGAGGTGGACCCTGCCACCCCTCCAGGGACCTCTAAGGCATTGCCCCCGAGTCGCTAAGTCCTGGCTTCTCCCTAGTCCTCGGTCGCCCCGTGAGGCCACATGTCCGCGGAGCCCTTCTCTTGGCGGTTGCCCTCTGTTCAGCTGAAAGAGGCTTACTTGCTCCAAGGCTCGCCGCATGCACGGACGCCTCCCTCCCTGTAGACCAAGGACGAGGAGTCACAGGAAGTCGGGACTGTGCGTCCTCCCAGCCCTCGCCCCCCAGCAAGCGCCGAGCTGGGTCCTTCTGCTAACCCCTGCCCCTACTGGGCCCTGGGCGCCATTTCATTTTCCTCGCCCGTCCCTCTTCTAAGAGCAGCCCTCCTTCGGGGTGACAGCTTGAGGTTGACCGATTGGGCTGCCTTGTTGGTGTCAGAGACCAGGTGAGAACCTGCTTATCAGGAAGGGCAAGGTGGCCCCTAGAGACCGGGAGGGAGGTGATTGTGGTGGCCACTAAGTCCAGGGTGCTCTGGGGTTGGTGAGCCGAGTGCTGGCCGGCCACACTGCTGGGAGTCTGGGATCCTGGGCCTCTTTTTCTAGGATAAGGCAACTGCCACTCGATCAGCCCCTTCTGTGTTTTGGTCACTTGGCCGGCTGCTTCTGACTTTTTCTTTAATGGACATACAATAAAATTGACCTTTTTTGGAGTGCTTCTTTTATTTTATTTTATTTTATTTTATTTTATTTTATTTTGCCAGAGGGTGTGTATACTTGCTAGAAAGAGAGAAAGAAGAAAGTGAGAAATCACCCCCCATGGGGGCTGGCCATGCCATAATCCCTTCTCCTTCATTCTCCTCTTGGGGTATTTTGGCCACACACATGGCCATGTACCCATCACGGTTTTCAAGGCACTGGGTCAGGACCCTAACTGCAGTCGACCATGTGGGCCTCCAGTGCCTTAGCCACCACACCACCTGCTGGCCCCTGGACTGCATTTTTAAATGTGTGTAGTCATGTAGTCGCTCCCACATTCAGTTAGGGAACTTTCTGTCACCCCCAAACGCCCTCGGATTGTCACAGCCACCCCTCCCGGATCCCTAGCATGTGACTACCCGTCTCCCTCTTGGGTTACATCTCGTGGACTCACTCCGCAGGTGAACCCTTGATAACGTTTCCCTTCCCTCGCGTATTGCGTGTTGAGATCCACCCGAGGCGCGTTGAGGAGCACGACTGGTTGCCGCGTGGCCCTACACGGCACAGACACCCCCTGTTGGTCCGTTCACTGTCGAAGGACGTTGGGTTGTTTTCAGTTTGGGACGATTACAAGTGGGGCTGTTTTAAACGTGAATGTGCAGAGTGCTGTGTGAGCATAAGTCCTCGCTTCCCCAGGTGATATGCCAGGAGTGGGCAGGCGAAGTGCCTGTGCGAGAGTCCAGATAACGCATGTAGCTGCTCCACCCTCTCGGAAGCACACCAACCCCCGCCCCCAGGGTGGCTGCCCCCATGACGTCCCGACAAAGAGGACGACGTGGTGAGGGAGCAAAGGAGCAGCTTGGGCCAGGTGGGCACTGAGGCCCCCTGAGCAGCTCGAGGCCTGAACCTGCCTACTCGAAAACCACGCCGGGAGTATGTGCGTGTGTGCCCCGAGTCCTGCAGGAGGGAGAAAAGGAGGAGCGGGACCGCGGCCCGAGATGCTCCTCCCTAACGGGTAACGCCCATGGGAGGTGCTCTCCCACTCTCTGTCTCTCTCTGTCTCTTCCCAGCGAGCACTCATGTTCTCTCACACGTTTTTTTTTAAAAGAATGATTTTATTTAACTTTATTTATTTACTTAATTTGACCAGAGAGGGACAGAGGGAGAGAGTAAAAGAGAGAGAAAGTGAGAAAGCAAGCCATCAGGTCTGGGACTTGAACTATGGTCGGCTATGTGGGAGTCCAGCGCTCTTAACCACCATGCCACCTGCTGGCCCCCCTCTAGCAAATTTTTAATAAAAGAAAAATACTAACTTTACAGTGGAGGACTTTGACACCTACAACTTCAGCCAGGTGATGGAGGCCCAAGGCCCAGATCCACCGGGATAGTGTTGTGTTTTTATGATAGAAAGCACATATGTGCATGAGAGAGGGAGAGGGAGAGGGGGAGAGAGAGAGAGGGAGAGGAAGAGAGAGAGAGAGAAGCCCTCTCAAAGGTTTTATCCTGTGATCCCTTTTCCCTTTAGCTCCTCAGGGTCTGGGGTGTCCATGTGCTTACCCAGCCTGTTTTCAGGCCAGCCCAGGAACCTGAACCTGTGGTCCTCCGTGTGGCTCCCAGTACCGCAGTCCAGAACGCTGTGGACTGCACCCCCAGCTGGGCCACAGCGATGGGTGATGCTGATGGCGGTGCCCTGCTTACGAGGTGGTGAGAGCGACCGCTCTCCCCACACTGAGTGCCGCCCACAGTTCTAATCTGGTGTGTTTTCATTTCATTCAGCTCGGTATGTTTTCTGTTATAGCTTTCCTTGAGACTCCCTCCTTGACCCATGGACTGTATAGAAGTGTGTTGTTTAATTTCTAGGTATGTGGAAACTTGCCTATTGTGTTTCTGTTACTGATTTCCTGTCCCGCTCCATTATGGTCAGCGAGCATACGTTGTATGATTTCAGTTTGCAAAGGTTAGTTTTACAACCTAGGATATGGTCTATCTTGGTAAATATTCCATGTGTACTTGAAAGACCGGTTATCCCACTGTTGTTTGGTGGAATGTTCTAGTAGTGTCAGCTAGACCCAGTCGATTAATGGTATCCATCCACTCCACTATATTGCTGAGCTTTTGCCTGCTCGTTTTATGGATCACTAGGAGAGGGTTTTAAAGTTTCCACCTCTTCACTGTGGGTCTGTCTCCGTGGAGCTCACTGAGTCCCTTACGTCCGTAGGTTTATGTCCTTTGCCACCTTTGGGACATTTCAGCCGTTAGTTCTTCAGATGCACTTTTTTTCTTTTTTTTTTTTTTTTTGAGAGGTTTTTGCTATAGGGCGCGTGCGCTCGCCAGACATACAGAGAGAGACAGAGAGATAGAAAGCGAGAAATCACCCCCCAGAGGGGATGACCACGCCGCAATCCCTTCTCCTCCATTCTCCTCTCGGGATCTTGGGCACGCACGCACACGCGCCCGGCGTGAGTTTTAAGCCACCGGGTCCAGGACTCGAACCGCAGTCGACTACGTGGGAGTCCAGCGACATAGCCATTATGCTAACTGCTGGTCCCCAGATGCACTTTTTCATTGCTTCCTCTCTTCTTTCCTCCAGGGACTCTTAATATACGTTCCATCCTTTAGTCTTGTCCCATGGGTCCCCAAGGCTCCATTCATTTCCCTTAAGCCCTTTTCCCCTTCTGTTGTTCAGATTGGATAGTTTTTGTTGATCTCTCTTCTGACTTTGTGCCATCTTTATTCTGCTAGTGAGCCCTCAGTGTTTTGTTTTGTTTTAAGAATGAATTATTTATTTCATTCCATTTGTTATTATTATTATTTCTTTTTTAATTTGACCGGAGAAAGACAGAGCAAAAGGGAAAGTGAGAAAGCAAACTGCCAGGCTGAGGCTCAAATGGCAGTTAGCCACGTGGGAGTCGAGTGCCTTAACCATCATGCCACCTGCCGACCCCTCCACTGGGTTTTTAAAAATTTCAGGTACTGAGCTAGCTCCATGCCTGGTGGTTAAGGGAGCCAGATGCCACATGGCCAACTGCACAGTTCAAGTCTCAGGCCTGCTGGCTTGAAAACCGTGCTGGGCGTGTGTGTGTGTGTGTGTGTGTGTCCAAAACCTGACAGGATGGAGAAATAGAGGAGAGGAAATTGTGGCACCACCACACTCCACTGGGGAGGGGTGATTTCTCCTTCTTCCTCTCTGTTTATCTCTCAAGAGAGTGCATGCACCCTCTGGCAATTTTTAAAAATTCAATTGCTATCTTTTTAATTCTAAATTTTCCAATCATTCTCCTTCCTATTTTCTTTCTTTTTAAATTTACTATAGGGAGTGTGTCAAAGGGAGACAGGGATGGGGGTGGAGGGAGTGAGAAAATACTCCCTGGGGGCAATGGCTGCCCTTCAGTCCCTTCTCCTCTTGGGATTTTGGTGCATGTGCACACATGCCCAGTGTGTTTTTCTTTTTCTTAAGAGAGATTTTTGCTACAAGGTGCATGTATTTGCTGGAGAGAAAGTGAGAAATCACCCCATGGGGGGATGGCCATGCTGCAATCCTTTCTCCGCCATTCTCTTCTTGGGATTTTGGGCACACATACACACATGCCTGGCATGAGTTTTAAGCTGCCAGGTCCGGGACTCGAAATGTGATCAACCATGTAGGAGTCCAACACCCCAGCTACCACATACCCAGCATGTTTTTCAAGCTGCTGGGTCTAAGACTCAAGCTGTGGAACTGATGGAGTGGGGTCCAGCCGTCTTATATGTCATGCCGCTGGCTGGCCCTATTTCCTGCTTTTTTCCTGAGACTTTTTATCTTTCCTTCATGTCCAGAATGTTCCCTTTAACTTCCTGGAGTGCTGTTACAAGGGCTGCTTTGAAGTCTGGCTGCTCATTCCAGTAGCTGTCAGCCCAGATCATCCACCGTTACCTTCCCAGGCACGCGGACTCTCCTGGCACTCTGTATGCGGAGGAATTTGGGTTTGCTCTGAACATTGCGAATACTGCATTTCAAGACTCCGGGTCTTGGTGAAGCCCTCTAGGGAATGCTGGTGTCTTCGTGACAGTGGGCTCTCGACAGGTTTGGTTCAGGTTCTGAGTCCCATCACCTCCTGTGGATTTCGGTACCCACCGTGTTTCCGGGCCTGTGCAGGACCAGCCTCCCTGACTGTCTCCACTCATTGCGTCTGAGGGGTGAAGGCTCCCCGTGCTCAGCTTCAGGTAAGCCCAGGAGCTTAAGAGCATTGCAAGGCTGTCCCCCCGAGCTTCCTGCCTCTCTGCAGTTTCCCCAGTCCTGTCTGTTCCCTGGGCCTCCACTCCCTCAGCCAGCAGGCAGGGGCTTTCTGGTTCCCCTGTGGAGCTTCCTACTGCGGCTCTGGCTCACAGTTCCTAAAGGGGAGGATGGCCCTGTCCTTCAGGGCTCAGGCACCCACAGGCAGGCCCTCTGCTGCCACTGTCACTGCGGTAGCATCGCCTGGGGGTGGCCCGATGGGGCCAAGAAGAGACAGGAGCAGAGGCACCCACCGCCTCCGAGAGCCTGCTTCTCAGGCCAGGGCTAGAGGACTTATGCCCGGACGCCTCGCCATACCGACTTCTGGGGCCTGGCTGTGCTTAGCCCAGCCAGGGATGTGGGGAAGAAATGGCAAACCCATCACCCTGCAGTGGTGCCTCAGATTCTGGGTTCTGCCCTCCCCACCTGCCCTGGCCTCAGGCCTCGGGTGGCCGCCGAGGGCATTCTGGTCCGGTCATGGCCAGGGTCAGCAGGCGAGCAGGATGGAGCGTGTGCAGCTCTGTCATCCTCAGAACCACAGGGGCACCGGCAGGCACGTGTTTTAGAGGTGTAAAACAGACGTCCTGGGCTGGCCTCAGTCTGGTGGCACAGGGAGCTGGAGCCGCACAGCGGACCGTGGTTGGAAATGTGGCATCCATGCCCAGATCCTTTGGGGCGGAGGAATGGAGAAGGGGCTGCAGCGCGACCATGCCCCATTGCGGGTGCTCTGTCTCCCTCTGTCTCTCTGCTGAGTGCCCACGTCCTCTGGCAATTAAAAAAAGGGGGGGAAAACCCAGATAAATCTGGATTAAAAACCAAACAGGAGGAAGTCGGGATGTGTCTGACTAGGAGAAGTGTGGTCTGGGTGGGGACAGAGGAGACAGAGTCCTCAGGTGTCCACGTCACCTGTACACAGGGCTTCCGGAGCCCTGTCCCTTGACAGTCCCTTGTCCCCGCCTTCCTTTTGTGCCCTGGGGAGTGAGAGGCGAAGGGAGGCTCTCGGCGCCCACGCAGGCTGCCAGGTGCAAGCGGACAGTTGGACTGTGAGCAAGCGAGCCGTGTCCCTCTCCACCGAGTGTGCAGGAAGGCTTAGGTGGGATGCGTGGGTCGGTAACCAGAATTCCAGGTGTTCCTGTCCGGGAGTCCTCTGTGTAGCCTCGGGCCACAGACCCTGGTCTGGGCTAGATAAAGTAGGTGGCCTCCTAGGGACCAGCGGTTAGTGTAATGGCTTTGTCGCTGGACTCCCATGTAGTCGACCATGGTTCGTGTCCTGGACCCGGTGGCGTAAAACTCACGCTGGGCACATGTGCGTGTGTGCCCAAGATCCTGAGAGGAGAATGGAGGAGAAGGGATTGTGGCGTGGCCATCCTCCCTGGGGGGAGTGATTTCTTGCTTTCTGTGTGTCTGGCAAGCGCACGCGCCCTATAGCAAAATAAACCTCTCCAAAAATAAAAAAGGTTCATTGACCTTAAAAAAAAAAAAAAGTAGGTGGCCTCCTAGAGCGGAGATTTCCCTCTTAGTTCCCTCTCCCGTTTTTATCAGCTGTCCTCTCTCAGAAAGGGTGGCTGGATGGCAGGAGCAGTTCTTGCTTACAGAGGAGCGGTGGAGGCCCAGCCTCTGGTCTGCTCTCTGCCCCGCCAGTTGCCGGCTG